TAGGTCTATGTAAGGATAATTGTGAGTTAGTATACGTCTGTAATTGAGGACGAGAGGATCCTACCTCGGGGTCGGTCTTTCCCACGATGTTCACAGAGGTGGCCTGCAGCTCATGTGTCTGCTCCTTGCCTGGCGGACATGCCTTCCAGACTCCTGAGATTTCGACAGCTGTTCCGGTAGATAGTCTGGAGAGCGTGCGAGCGACAGTCAGTATCTAGGGTCGTGGGTGAAAGATTTCGAGATCGCGGAGGACGTACTCGGCAGCCTGGGAGGGATTCAGGATAGCCTGCAAAGGCTTGACTGTCGATCCATCGGAGATCTCAGCAAAAGCGAAACGCTTCTGCTTGCGAACTGATCGAATGAACCCGTTCAATTGGATCTCCTGGTCCTCCAGACTAGATCCCTTCTGACTCTGCTCGAGGACCTGGGCGCAGCGAAGAAGCGTGGAGCCGGCGCTCCTTGCTGCTGGCCTATTGTTCAGTCGCGCAACCGATGTGGCGAATGTCCGCCGCCATGTCAGCATCTCTTCGAATCAATGGGAGAAATCGCGCGGGCCAGAAAGATAGATTGGAGAAAGTATCGCGGGTGTGCATCGGTGTGGAAGAAGTGCGCCGGGCCGATCGATGATTCAGCTCCGCAAGCCGCACGCGATAAGCCGCTCACTTATCGCTGGACCTCTTCGTTGTTACGTGCGACGGACAGCTACGAGCAGCTCTACGTTAAGCCATATACGATTAAATGTTGTCACTTTTCTGATTTAGCGATGGAGTAGGGAATATGTAGCGTAATCCGCCCAAAGCACACGCATTCCAGCAGTATCAGTCTCAGAACAGACCGTAAAGTCCACAGCTACTTGGATCCCAACGAGTCTGGGTCATATCAAGTTGTAAGAAAAGAAGTATTATTACCAAGTTGGTCATCACATCGTCGATCCCTGTTGTTCGTATGCCTTGCGTTCTTCCTCAATCATATCAATCGCATCTGATACCCTGCCGTCTGCGGCCGCAGCATAAATCGCGATTCGTTGATGGCCACCATCGCTTGCGCCGCCATATCCCAAACTCACCAAGGTAGAGACGCAGTCGTCAATGTCGCGTTGCCTGACATCAGGATTGATTGCCTGAGTCTCGGAAGAAGGGGTTTCAAAACTGTTCCGACGTCCACCGCGGTGACGATGACGTCCTTCCGGTCTCCAGCCGAATATGCCGCGAGGGGCGTCCCACCCCGAGAATTCATCTTGCCAAGCAGAGCGGGGTCGCTGGCTCTTCCAACGTCTAACATGGCGGCGAGGGCCAAAAGATGATTCCTCATGGTCATGCACACCATGCAGATTACGGGTCTCTGAGAACTGTCCAGGCTGTGCCGACGAGTTCTCACGGACCTCCTGCGGAAACGTGCCGGGAAGCCCCTGCAGTGCCGCATTGCCGTTCAAGTTTCTGGCTTCTGGTGCTTTGCCGTCAGACCTCGTCTGTGCGCTGGATGAAGCCGCTTCCTTCTGCTGCTCAGCCAAAAAGTGCGCTTCGAGCTGTGAGACCGGGGGAAAGCGACACTCTTCCAATTCACGCGTAAGCTCCGGGATCCGATCAAATTCAGGACTCACGGGCTCAGAAGGCCCTGACTTGAGGACACCTTCAGGCAAGAGAGACGGGTAGAGTGAATTGAGCCGCGTGGAATCCCCCAAGGACGAGTCTTCCAGACTATTAGGAGACGCTGTGTTGCCCGGATTGCGATTATCATTGGAACACAAGTCCGCCACGGTCAAATGAACGGCACGTTTACCGCTGAGCGATTTGGAATCATCTTGGTTACTAAGTGATGTCTTCTCCAACTTGGCGGGCGTAGCTGTAGATCCTTGAAGCTCAGACGGAACGGACTTTCGCTCACTAACAGCAGGCATTGGACGGTCTGGTGTTGCTTGAGGAGAAGGTTCTTCGGGGTGCAGCCTGGCGACCGGGGTCTGCTCACTGAATTCCAGGTTAATTGCATGCCCATCAATATGCGTCCCCTGCAAGGCCTCCAGGGCCGCCTTTGCCGCAGGGACAGATGGGAAGGACAAGTAGCCAAATCCAGCGTGCTTCTCGGTCCCAACATCAAGAGGCAGATGTACATCTACGAGAAAACCCCGGGAGGCAAAGACGTCGCGGATCATCTTCTCGCTAACATTGAAGCCCACATTGCCAACGAACAATGATGTGTTAGTGGAGCTTTGTGTCTCTGTCGGCGTAGCATTGTGGCTAGAAGATGGTACATCGTTGGTTACACCACGATCTTGTTCATGAGCATGTTGGCGACTAATGGGAGCGCGGCCACGGCGACAGTTGTATGTGGTGTGTGGATGCCAACGTCGGTGCGTGTGTTGGGAGGGATGTGCATGAGTACTTGTGGGTTGTGGACGAGGAACCTCAGGCCCAGCAGGGAAATGAGGATGACTGAAATTTTCGGGTGTCGGCCAGAAAGGAGGCGGCGGTGGAACTGGGAAGGGCTGGTGAAAGTGATGAGGAGGTGGACCGAAGAAAGGAGGAGGCGGGGGCGGAGGCGGATAATGGTGATGGGGATGAGGATGCGGTGGTGGTTGGAAGTAGGGTGTGAAAGCAAAAGGGCCGTGGCGTCCGTGAGGCACGTATGAAGGTGCATCTGGCTGCGCCTGGTTAGGGCCGCCTGGTTGAGTCGGTCCATCCGCCTCTGCAGCCTTCTTGGAGCCAGTTTTAAGGTCTGCTTCTGGTCCCAACTCTTTCTCTCCGGATTTTGTCTCGCGGCTTCCCAGATCCCGATCCTGGGTTGGCTGGTCGACCACATCGGGGACAACACTATTAACTGCAGTGGCATCAGATGGTCTGGAGGGTTCAGCCTGGTCGGGACGGAGGCCATCTGGACGTTGTTCAGAGGAAGCCTGGGGTTGACCACCAGTTCGAGTGCAGCCAAACTCCGACTCAAACGCTTCGAACAGAGTATGCCCTACATTTCCAAGTTCCGACGCCATTGCACGCAGACTGTCCACAGCGCCGGCGGCTGTAGGGAGTTCTCCCTGGAGAATGTTCCCTGTCGACGCACCACCAACGGTATGGTTGATAGAGCCGGTAAGCTGTCTCATCTGGGCTTCCAAACTCGCAAGAGCACCTTGTACCGGGGACCCAACATTTCCAGGAAGGGCCCTCTGAGCGTTCTCCAGCTGCCGTTCAATCTCGGGTATACTTGATCTCACCCCAGAACTGAGCAACTCAGCCCCGTTGAGCAGGTTCCGCATTGCATAAGTAAATGCATCCGTGGGATTTGGAGTCCTGCTCCTTGGGGTTCCCGCTGGCTCCTGAGCGGGAGCTGAAGGTCCTTCCGAAGTGTTATTTTCTTGTATATTCCTAGAAGCATCGAGAATCTTGGCCATCTCAGCCTCAAAGGCGGCCATGAGTGATGCTGTGTCGTCGTTCTTCGTAGCTTCAACGTTCTCTTGCTCAGTACCTGACCGTACTTCTGCTGAAGTGCTAGTAGCCGGGGCGTCCACATTTGATGATCCAGCCCTATTTTCCGCATTCTTGCCTTCTTGCTTTATCTGGAACTCCTTCCACAACTCCGTTATTGAGTTCGAGCGTCGAATATCGAAGAGGTGCATGAGTTCGGTGGCTTCCTGCGGCATCGAGTCGTGCGCAAGGTCAATAGGCTCATCGAGGCGTTGGGAGAGTTCGAGAGACGATCCAACCTATAAAGACCGATTAGTACCAAAACGACGCAGGATATGCGATAAGACATACAGTGATGATCTCCCCATCATCGTCATCAACATAAGTCAACCGTGCCCGCGGGTGATTCGATGCAAGATCATCATACTGGGGAGCAGACAGCTGCACGATTCCCCGACGAGCTCTAGGTGATGATGGTTCCCTTGTCAAGGGTTGAGTGGATGCCGAGGGCACCTCTGCAGATGTATGTGATGGAGATCCTTGGAGATCTCTGATCTGGAACGGTTTCAACATCTTCGGCGATAAAACACAACGGTCGCGGAAGAGCAAAGTTCCGCTCCCAGACCGTTATGAAGCCAAGAGAAGACGATGAATGATGAACCACGCAGCACGCAGGCGATGCTGGTAAAGAAAGAAGCCAGTTGGAAGGAAGGATTCAGATAAACCAGAAAGGAACAGTAAGCTGGCTGGCGATCAGCAAAAGAGAAAAGGGATCAAGCTTGACAGGAATCTAGGCCGTAGGATAAGGGTCTTGTCTGAACCCCGGGGGGAGCGGCGATAAGGAGGGAGGGAGGGAGGGGGAAACAAAGGCTGGCAGGCGGCGGTCGTCGTCACTATTGCTGCTGCCTATGGGAATAACAGCTTTAGTTTCGGCGTTGGATCGTCTTTTCGCCTCAGTTCAGACAACAAGATTCCGCAAGAGGAAGCCGACCATCGTCATACGAAGGTCAGCTGCAGTGTAACGGGAAGGGAAGGCACAGGAAAAGGTTAGGGGTCCAGGCAACCAGATATTGAAGGAGATGTTTGACGTGATATGAAGGAATGAGGTTGCGGATGAGGAGAAATCTACTAGTCAGCCAAAGTACTTTGTAAAGTAATCCATCAGTAAGATGAGATGAAGAGTAGTCTGGATCCTCTCCAAACATCCCAAGAACTCCAAGACTCTTCTAACTTCTAAGACTCTCTCAGCAACGAAACTAGTTGCAGTCAAGCTTGTCTTTCTCCCCGCGCGGCGGTAATATGATTGGATGGTGACGGAGATCAACTGACCCGATCCAACTGGTCTGACTGGTTTAATTTGACGGGAAGGAATCCGCAGGTGGATGGAGGTCCTACGTATTCTCTCTATACCAAAATCTAATCTAGTTGACGACTGCAGCAAGTGTCCCTGCGGAGTGAGAGAGCAAAAGAAAGCTTGAGCGTATCATATACTAGCTAATCAACTAAACAAATTGATTGTATCCAATTCCCCCGATAAACCCTCCACCTTTCCTTTCCGGGTTTCTTCTTTCTCCCCATAGTAAGCAGAAAATATGCAAGTAAGCTGTACTGCCTTTCCGGACTCTTTTAGGCTAATCCCTCCCGCCCGGCCTATCCAAAGCAACCAGCGTAAGGGAGGAGAGAGAAAAAAAAAAAAGTGTCCAGGACCTACTACAAACCGCCGTCACAGATGGCTGGCATCTCCACAGAAACGCGTCCGCTCCCCGATTACCATCAATTCCTCATTAAGGGGGAAGGAAGAAGAAATAAGCCGCGAATTGACGCCATTCGTTCCTAGCTACTAGTCCTGATCGTTTCCCCTTCCCTCCCCCGTGTCTCCAATGGCTCCCAGTGACCCTGTGTCGCGCACCGAACCATCCTCCACCGACCGTAACGTCAAGCACGTCGTACTGGGTGACCTCCTTTTCCCAACATGGTATCAGTCCATCTATCCGGAAGATCTCGTCAATAAAGACACAGACCGGTTGTACGTCTGTCGTTGGTGCTTCCGGTACTCGTGCGACGTCCACGCCTACGCGCAACATACGCGACTCTGCCAACACCGGACAACACCTCCCGGAACGAAAGTCTACGATCATGGCGGATACTCTGTATGGGAGCTAGACGGTGAATGCCACAAACTCTACGCGCAAAACCTTTCCTTGTTCGCCAAACTCTTCCTCGATCACAAGTCCGTCTTTTACGATGTCGTCTCCTTCCTCTACTACCTCCTCGTCTTCACCGATCCCAATGACCCCGAGAATTACTACGTCTTGGGCTTCTTCTCGAAAGAGAAACTCTCCTGGGATGCGAACAATCTCGCATGCATCCTCGTCTTCCCGCCCTACCAGCATAAGCAGCTTGGAAAGCTGTTGATGGGCGTGAGTTACAAGATCAGTTCCTGGGAGAGCGATAGTGGCCTTATAGGCGGTCCGGAACGGCCGCTAAGTGAGATGGGCCATAGGAGTTATACTCGGTTCTGGCAGGAACGAATAGCCAGGTATCTATTGTTACGGGGCGGCAACCCGAAGGAAGCAGAGGCGGCGTCGGGCTCCGCCGTGCCACTGAAGCAGAAGTCTCCGAAGACGTCCAAGCGAAAACATACCCACGAGCTCATGACAGTGCAGGACATTGGTCTGGCGACGGGGATGTTGCCTGAGGATGTTGTCACCGCTCTTCAAGGCCTGGGGGCCGTGGAGCCTGCGACGCCTGCCAAAAAGCGCCGGACAAAGGATTCATCTGGCGAGGCTGGATCGGGCGCAGAGGAGCCCTTGTTGATTCGGAAGTCTAAGATTCTTGAGTGGGCCAAGTCACATCATATGGCGCTCCAAGACCCTGTTAGAGATGAAGGTTTTCTGGGGAAATGGGCCCCGGCTGATTCCACTGAAGAGAGTGAGGTCGACAGTGATGAGGTTGACGAAGATGCTGGATAGGAGCTTCCTGCCTATCTTTGAGCCTATCGTTACGTTCTACCGTCATGTTTCCTGATGTGGAAACAGCGTGTCATGTATTATCATTTGCCTCTACTTACGCTACTGACCGTATGGAGCATCTTATCATTAATGAAATCTAGCAATACGATAAATTGACGGGACTAGTCACATGGAATTAGTAGTATTTTTGGTCGGCTCCTGAAACATCCCATCCGAGGATGCTACCTTGTAACGGATGAGTTACTCTGTGTATTGGGAGGTAGCTCTGCAAGTTACGCAACTCGCTCACTTATTCACTGGTCATTACAGCCAAGCGATAATACTAATACTCTGCATGTGCTATGAGCATGGTACTTTATCTCGCTGCCTACATTATGACTTTCAATGGATCAACTCAAGACACTCACCGTCCCTTAGGCAGCCATGAATGAGGCAATATTACATGCTAGCGGGTTTGAAACACGATTAATTCCCTCGTGGGTTAAAGTCGATTAGGATACGTAAGTATGTGAAGTACAATTTTCGACGTAGGATATTTTTCTATACCGGTAATCCGAATATGGAAGAACCTGATGTTCTCGCTTTACAATAACTCGCCTTAGACGTAGCCATCACATTACTCATCCATACCGCCAGGTCCTCCCTGTCGGCCCATTTGTCTGGCCTTGAGCAGCTCATCGCAGAGCAGGAGGTTCGAGGCAATACCCGTGCTTGACGCGACGCAGTTACGTAGCACACGGAAAGAGTCGAAGACACCTTCCTGGATGGGGTCCATCGGCTCACCAGTGGTCAGGTCCAGACCGACGGTGTTGCCGTTCGACTGCTCGTCTTGCAGAGCCGCCAATGAGTCCTGGACATCATGGCCAGAGTTGGCAGCAAGGGTCTTGGGGATGATGAGAAGGGCGTCGGCGAAAGCCTGAACACCCCACTTGGCCTTGCCCTTGACAGTCTTGCGGAAGGCCTCGGAAGTGAGGTGTGCGGCGCAGGCCACCTGGAAGCTACCAGCACCGGGGATGACACAGTTGTCGACGATGGTGTTGTAGACGGACCGCAGACCGTCGCGAACAGCATCCTTCACCTGTGCGATGGTGTGCTGGTTGGGTCCCTTGATGAGGATAGTGACGGACTTGGGGTCCTTGACTTCCTCAACGAAAGTGAACTTCTCCTCGCCGAGCTGGTGCTCGTAGACCAGACCAGCCCATCCAAGGACGTCAGGCGTCAAGTCCTCAACACTGTTCTGTGCAGTACCACCGCAGATAAGTTGAAGACGCTCCATGTTCCTCCGCTTAGCTCTCCGGAGAGCGAGAATGCCGTTCTTAACAAGGACATCCAAGCTCAGGGGGTCAATACCCTTCTGGTTAATGACGACGAAGCTCTTGTTGGGGTCGGTACCGCAGACTTGTTGCTTGAGCTCCACGATCTTCTTCAGCTTAGCATCGACGAACTTGCGTTCACTCTCCACCAACTTATCCCTCTGTTCGGCAGAAGAGTAGTAAAAGCCAGAGTTGATTTCAGACTTCTCGTACTCCAGGCTCACGTTCAGGGTCAGGATGAACGCGTTCTCCACACGCTTGGGCATGTCGGGGTGTCTGGCACCGTGGTCAAGAGCAAGACCACGGATAAGTCTGGTGTCAGAGGACGTGCGATGTTGCATGGTCATGATCTCAATCATGTGTAAATCGGGCTTCTCGGGAGCTCTGTGGATGGCAAGAACGGCGTCGACGATATCAGGCGTAAGCTTCTCGGCCAGAGCGCTGTTCAACTTCGTGCTGAGCGACGTCCGCGCGACGGAAAGGAGGAGTTCACGGTCAATTGTCCGTTCAAGCTTGAATTGCTCGAGGAACTATATACCACTATAGTTTAGTATTGTAGATGACCGACCATCTTAGATTCCGATGTACTAACCTTCAGAGACTCGTTCTTCGCAATTTCATAACCATCCGTGATAACACGAGGGTGCAGACCCTCGGAGATGTGACGATTTGCCTGCTTCAGAAGCTCACCCACCAACAGGACGACAGATGTCGTTCCATCACCGGTAATATCATCCTGTGCCGTTGCAGCTCGGGCAATCATAACCTTTTTCCTGTATTAATAATTGCGTTTGGGGGAGGAGGAGGAGGGAGGTCTAGCTCACAGCCGTGGGGTTTTGGATTTGCTGCACCGGTTAGCATGAGAGTTTATGATTCCTAATTGTAGATAACACTCACCATCTCACGCAGCAGAACATTTCCATCTTTAGTCAACTTGATCTGTTTGTATCATTGTTAGTGAAAATGCCGAATTGCCGTACTCGAGGGAATATTTCATACTCCGCCTGCACCATCCACCAACCTGAGATCCGTCAGCTCTGCATCTGTCTATTAACCATCGTAAATTGGAACATACATCTTCAGGGTACCCGAGGGACCCAAGTTGGACTTCAAGACATCCTGAAGACCCTCACCGGCGCTGATGTTGACCTTCAAGGCCTCCGCTCTCCGCTGCGAACAGTTAGTCTCTGCTGGACCACTGAGGGGCTAATGTTTCGGGGGGGTAAAGGGAAGAAGGATAACTGCATGCATACCCTCGACTCGGCCTTGGGATTGAGTAACTGCGTTGCAGACATTTTCTGCAGCACGAAAGAGCGACAAGCAACAAAAACCCAACGAAAGAAATCCGGAGAAAAAGATAAGGCTGGCTGGTGCTGTAGGGCCCCTAAGACGATGCCCGCGCGGCCACAAACCTGGTGGTGTTTGCCGTCGAATGCGGTGAGCTGTAGTTTTGGCAAAAAGCCCACATTCGATGTTCGCACTAGCGCCGCCGCGAAAAAAAAGAGCTCCGACGGCTCGACTCTGCAAATCTACCCTCCCAGGCTTTTCTTCAACTCCACGTCGGTCCACGGCAGGTCTACGGTCGCATAACCCCGGGAAATTGAGACGCGACCACGATAAGTCGCACGTAAAGGACCGTTTTGTCTAATTTTTAGGGCCCTTCCCTCAATTTCGCAATGGCCGACTTCCTTCTGTTCGAGGGCCCCATGGGCTACTCGCTTTTCAAGGTCGCCCACCAGGGTGACAGCGTGGGAAACCGCTTGAAGGAGGTTCAAGAAGGTGTTAACGACTTGGCCAGTTTCGGTAAAATGGTCGAACTGTCCAGTTTCCTGCCTTTCGAGTATGTGGTTCAATTTTTCCCATAGGGGCACTTTCCCGCAGGATTCTGACAACTTCCAGGAACAACAAGCAGGCTCTCAGTGAAATCAACGATGTCTCCGAGGGTGTCGCTTCGGACACTCTGATCTCTTTCCTCGAATTGAACTTGCCCAAGCCCAACAAGAAGAAGAAGGTTGTTCTGGGTCTGGCCGACAAGGCCTTGGCTGGAAGCATCAAGTCTGCCTTCTCTTTCGTTGACTGCGAGACTGGAGACACCAGCGAAGTCGTCCAGGATATGCTTCGTGGTGTCAGACTGCACGCCACCAAGCTGCTGAAGCAGCTGCGTGAGGGTGATATGGACACCGCCCAGCTTGGTCTTGGTCACGCTTACTCTCGCGCCAAGGTTAAGTTCTCCGTTCAGCGCGATGACAACCACATCATCCAGGCCATTGCTATCCTCGACCAGCTCGACAAGGCCATCAACACTTTCTCCATGAGGGTCAGGGAATGGTACTCCTGGCACTTCCCCGAACTCTACAAGATCGTCTCCGACAACCAGCGCTACGCCCAGATTGCCTTGTTCGTCCAGGACAAGAAGAGCTTGAACGACGAGAAGTTGCACGACATTGCTGCCCTTGTGGAGGACGATGAGGGTGTCGCCCAGAGCATCATCGACGCTGCTAAGCACAGCATGGGTCAGGAGATTTCCGAGACCGACATGGAGAACGTTATCTCTTTCGCCCAGCGCGTTGTCAGCCTGTCCAAGTACCGCAAGTCTCTCCACCAGTACCTGATTTCCAAGATGAGCGTGGTCGCCCCCAACCTTGCTGCCCTTATTGGTGAGATCGTTGGTGCTCGTTTGATCTCCCACGCCGGTAGCTTGACCAACCTGTCCAAGTACCCCGCTTCTACGGTCCAGATTCTCGGTGCTGAGAAGGCCCTTTTCAGAGCCTTGAAGACCAAGGGTAACACCCCCAAGTACGGTCTTCTGTACCACTCCTCTTTCATTGGAAGAGCTGGCCCCAAGAACAAGGGTCGCATCTCGCGTTTCCTTGCCAACAAGTGCTCCATCGCCTCCAGAATCGACAACTTCTCCGAGGAGCCCTCCACCAAGTTCGGTGAGGCCCTTAAGAAGCAGGTCGAGGAGCGTCTGGACTTCTACGCCACTGGTGCTGCCCCTACCAAGAACGAGGTCGCCATGGTAAGTCAATACAGCTTGTGTGATTGCTATTACACTAATGAATCAAAACTCCCTATTCTTCGTAACAACTTTACTGATGGCTTTTACAGAAAAACGCCATGGATGCTGTCCTTGCTGATATGGACATTGACGGCGCTGAGAGCGATGCCGAGATGCAGGACGCTGATGAGAAGGCCGAAAAGAAGGACAAGAAGGAGAAGAAGGAAAAGAAGGACAAGAAGGACAAGAAGGAAAAGAAGGAGAAGAAGGAGAAGGGCGAGAAGGGCGAGAAGGAGGAGAAGAAGAAGAAGCGCAAGTCTGACGTTGGCGAGGGCGAGTCCGAGAAGAAGAAGCGGAAGCACGACAGCGATGCTGAGCCGTCCAAAAAGAAGAAGAAGGTTTAAAAGTACCGAGTCTTGGGACAGGAGGGCGTCATTGTCGCGGCGTTGATGGGTTTTCTTTATTATTCTTGCCAACCATGTTCTGTTTTCTCCTTGACGACTTGATGGGCTGGGTATCTTGTAAATTATTCGATTGAGGCCTGTGTCGTGCCAAAATTTGTTTGTAGTTCTTGCTGCCAATCTGATATGGCTTTTTGGTTCTAGACTTATATGATATGGCAATTGGCTGTAAGCGATAAAGTACTAGTGGTTTGACGGACTTCCAGTAGCGATCTAAACAAAGGAACCAACCGTATCCTGGATATCTAATCCGAGCCAACAGCGGAGGAATCCTGGCTACTAACTAGTTAACTACTCTTAAGTTACAGGGTCGATCGCTGCTTATTCACCGGGCGGAGGAAGGGGCCGATGACCACCCAGACCGGCTTCCCCCTCTCAACCCCCCAAGCGAGGACTGACAACCCCATTGCGCTTTCCCTTCGTTCAGCTACTACCATATATCATGGCCCGAGCATCAGTGCTCTCCCCATTTACTTAGTTATAATGGCTTCGTTTATGACTCTGGTCAAGATACTAAGAAGCTAGCTTTATTATTTAGCGCACACTTACTGTGTCATTCTTTACCATAGCCGGCGCGGTCGATGTGATGCCCCCACCTTCGCAATGAATCCCAGCCCCGCGATGATGCCAACTACCCTGCCGACGATGTCCTCTGAATCGCCTAAACGTAAGCGAGCATCGTCCGAAGATTCTGATTACCGCAGTCCTTCCGCTTCACCTACATCAAGCGGCTCAATCCCCAACCCCCAGGAATCCAAGATCCGGGAAGCAGAGGACTGGGGTCGATACAGCCCGCGAGCGCTAGTCGCTGGTCGCTTGGGGCGATTGGCTATCCGCGGGGATCAAATTTCTACGTCGCCAGTGCCGTATGGAGTAGATCAGGGCATAGTCGCACATACGGCACAGTCGGGGAACTGGCCTACCTCAGACGGTGATTCTCATGAGTCTTACACCTTATCCGAAGCGAACACCTCGATGGAGATTAGTCCCAGCCCAGGGGAGCTGTCAGAGTTTGCGGAAGCTACTCAGTCTCCTGAAATTGCTAGATCCGGATCACCATCTCCCAGAAAGAGACGATCGACACCCAGCCCTCGCAAGAAGAAGCTCCCTACGACTTCTCCCAGGATGCGTAGCCGCAGTGCATCACCACCTCTTATAACCGATACAGCTGATGAGAACCCACTTACATGGCATGACTCGGAAATCACGGGTCACAACCCGACTGATCCTACTGACGACGGATATGGGCTGAATGGAATTGGTTTCAAACCGACTGCGGCAATGGCTTGGGCCAGGTCAGAGAGGAGAAAGAAACAGGTCGCAGAATGGAGGAGCCGTGAAGCCAGAGAGGCGCGCGAAAAGCGGCGAGAACGCCGAGACGGTGCCGACTTCGAGAGGATACGGTCTATCCAATCTGGTGCCATTCAGAAAAGGGTCAAGTTTGACGTCTAGATGCGGATTTCACATGAGTATGCATATGCGTATGAACACCCTTGTCTCGAGACACACCTTCTATCCCTTACGATATCCCTAACACTTCTGGAGTTTATCGGTTATTATGGCTTTATCGAAACGGGCGTTGGATTGAAATAATCGACACGAGACATGACGACATCACAACTTCAAGGTTGGATAGGGTAGCAGCCCCTAATATAGAGAGGAATATGTACTTTTGCAACCAGCCCACTTTATACATAGTACTATACAATGAGATTCCATCCAACTCCAGTACTCCATGCGATGCACAAAAAGCCTACCAAAACTTGTAGTTCGATAGGTTGGTCCAGCTCTTCCGTTTCCTTTCCTCCTCTGCCAAACGGGCCGCTTCCTCGATCTTCTGTTCCTTCTCACGTTGTTTCTTATCCTTGAGTGCCTTCATCAACTCCACTGCCTGTTTCATGCCGTCTAATTCCTCCACGCGACGCCGTTGGCAGAACTCGTGGGCTGCAAGCGCTGTAATAGCGAAAGCACCTACCGCCCAGTTACAAGCGGTCCACATAGAGCGCAGTCCTAAATTCATCCAATTCATCAGCGACCATTTATTATATCAGATCCGTTATTAGAATTTCATACCTCCAACCACGCCCCTAACGCCGCCTACACCGAACCCGGCCCCGATTCCGAGCAGCAGCGAGTCACGCGCACACGGCGCTTTATGGAAAGACATGGCATTTTCGAGTGACATTGTTTTCATAGCCTCAGTGACCGTGATATCCTTTGCCTTTTGTCCGGTCTTGGTTGTCGCTGTAGGCAGCATATTCACAGGCTCTTCGGGGTTTCCGAAGGCATCCCACAGCTTCCCGACCTGCGACTTGGGAAACTCATGCTTCGGTTTCCGGTCTCCCTGTTGCCCAGGCTCTCTCACTTCCGGAGTGGAGGTAGTTGAGTCCCGCGCATCGTCGGCCATTATGTGAGATCCAATTGTGGGTTCGAGATACCTTGTCGTCGCTCTATATCCAATCTATGGCCTTATGCGGGCATTTTCTCTACCGGGTAACTATGCGCGGTATACGGATCAACCTATTATCCGGTACCTCCCGGTTAGCCACCAGAAATGGATAGTTTTCCCGAGGTGCCCGCGATCATCCAATGACTACGCGTAAAGTAGAAAACGCGAACGCGTCGGAATGGCGTAGGGCAAATCTGGGCTCCGCAACATGCAAGTGGATCAACGACCAATTCAGTTACATTGGAGCGCGCTCAACTGTGTCTGTGAAGGAACGTCCATTTCACAAAGAAAAGAAGCCAATTTACAGCAAAAATCAACCATGCGCAGCTTTGTCCTGTGTTAATTACACCATTGCTTTTCCATGTTTCGCCTAACTCATCATCGCCTTGCTCTGCAGTGATCTCCAGCCCCGGCCAGTGGGCGCGTCGCCGTCGCAATGCCTTCAAGAAAACCCAGCAAATTTGGGAACAAGTTCCGATCAAGCGCGGCCTCCTTTAATCCCAAAAGAACGAAGACAATCGAGTTTTCATCCCTCCGATCCACCGAAGCAACCTCTCAAGATGAGAAATTCGAGGCAATCCGGCTGGCCAACAGCATCGATGAATCCTTGGGGTTCCCTCGGTTTGAGTCCGGCGAAAAACGAGTCGGCTGGCTCATCAACATGCACAGTACCTCCATAGAAGATCCGAATGTCCCCGGAGGACGCGCCGGCGTGGATTACTACTTTCTCGAAGATGGAGGTGGGAGTTTCAAGGCAACTGTTGAATACGACCCATATTTCTTAATTGCCGTGAAGAAGGGCCGTGAAACTGAGGTCGAGGATTGGTGTCGGAGGATGTTTGAAGGGCTCATCAAGAAGATAATGCGGGTGGAGAAAGAGGACCTCAATCTGCCAAACCATCTGCTTGGGTACAAACGGACATTTCTCCAACTCAACTTTGCGAGTGTGAGCCACTTGTTGGAGGTTCGCAAAACACTTCTTCCTCTGGCGGAGAAGAACAAGAAGAATGTAAATGTGATGGATACTTATATGGAGATCTCCAGGTACGTGCATCGATCTGGAGTCTATGTCTTGGAAGTTTGGGCTAACCGGTATCTGTAGCGCAAATGCTGGGTTCGACCTTTTTGACGATGAACTTATTAATGAATCACGATCTAATGCTACTATGAACGCGAGCGACTTCATTATTGATATTCGAGAATATGATGTTCCTTATCATGTTCGAGTCTCGATTGACAAGGGTACGTACCCGCATCATGTGTATTCTCTTCACGTCGCTAACGGCTTCAAGACATCCGAATAGGAAAATGGTATACAGTAGAGGCAAAGCACGGCGTTATCTCATTGACCTGCATAGAAGAACGACTCACCCGAGCCGACCCTGTCGTTCTAGCCTTCGATATTGAAACAACCAAGCTACCGCTGAAATTTCCCGACTCCGTGATTGACCAAATCATGATGATATCCTACATGATCGACGGGCAAGGGTTTCTAATCACCAACCGTGAGATCGTATCCGAAGACATCAATGATTTCGAATACACGCCCAAGCCAGAGTACAGTGGTCCTTTTATGATCTTTAACGAACCCGACGAACGCGGCGTTTTAGAGCGATTCTTCGAACATATCAAAGAAGCTAAGCCTACTGTCATTGCTACCTATAACGGTGACTTCTTCGATTGGCCTTTCGTGGAAGCTAGGGCTAGCGTTCTCGGCATCGACATGTATAGGGAGATCGGTTTCCGCAAGAACAGCGAGGATATCTACCAAAGTGATCACTGTGTTCACATGGATTGCTTCGCCTGGGTGAACCGTGATAGTTATTTGCCCCAAGGAAGTCGTGGTTTGAAAGCTGTTACAGTCGCAAAGCTTGGATACGATCCCGACGAGCTCGACCCAGAGCTGATGACTCCGTACGCAAGCGAACGCCCTCAGACCCTGGCAGAATATTCCGTTTCCGATGCCGTCGCCACATACTACCTCTACATGAAATATGTCCATCCTTTCATCTTCTCCCTGTGTACGATTCTTCCTATCAACCCCGACGACACGCTGAGAAAAGGAACTGGAACTTTATGTGAGATGCTGCTCATGGTGCAGGCGTATCAAGGAAACATCGTCCTGCCAAACAAGCACAAAGACCCCCCGGAATCATTCTACGAAGGACATCTACTCGAGTCAGAAACGTATGTCGGAGGACACGTTGAGAGTATTGAAGCCGGTGTGTTTCGAAGCGATATCCCTGTTACGTTCAACGTGCAGCCTTCAGCGATAGACGAGCTCCTCCGGGATCTGGATGCGGCGTTGAAGTTCAGTATCGAGGTAGAAGAGAAGAAGTCGATGGATGATGTTACGAACTACGAGGAAGTTAAGAAGCAAATTGCGGACAAGTTGATTGACCTCAAAGAGAGACCACACAGGGATGAAGTGCCCTTCATCTATCACTTGGACGTTGCATCTATGTATCCGAACATCATGATCACCAATCGACTGCAGCCTGACTCCATGATACAAGAGTCGAACTGTGCCGCTTGTGACTTCAACCGACCCGGAAAGTCATGCGATAGGCGAATGCCATGGGCATGGAGAGGTGAATTTCTTCCGGCCAAGCGCGACGAGTACAACATGATTCGTCAGGCTGTTGCAAATGAGAGGTTCCCTGGAAAGCACAAGAATAGCCCGATGAGGTCCTTCGGTGATATGAGCATCGAAGAACAAGCCGGCATCGTAAAAAAGCGACTACAGGATTACAGCAAAAAGATTTACCACAAGATTCACGACAGCAAAACAATGGTCAGGGAGGCCATCATTTGCCAGCGAGAGAACCCATTCTATGTCGACACCGTCCGCAGTTTCCGTGACCGAAGATACGATTTCAAAGGAAAGCAGAAGGTCTGGAAAGGCAAGACTGATGCTCTCAAGTCTTCAGGAGCATCAGCTGCGGAGGTGGAAGAGGCCAAAAAGATGATCGTCCTCTATGATTCCTTACAGCTTGCCCACAAAGTCATTCTTAACAGTTTCTATGGTTATGTCATGAGAAAGGGATCTCGATGGTACTCTATGGAAATGGCTGGTGTTACGTGTCTGACTGGTGCTCGCATCATTCAGATGGCTAGAGAGCTAGTTGAACGCATTGGACGACCTCTGGAACTCGACACTGACGGTATCTGGTGTATGTTGCCGGGCTCATTCCCCGAGAACTTTTCATTCACCTTGAAAAATGGCAAGAAGCTGGGTATCTCATATCCTTGTGTCATGCTGAACCACCTTGTCCACGGAAGCTACACAAATCATCAGTACCAGACTCTGGTCGACCCTGCTACATTCAGATACGACAAAAACAGTGAGAACTCTATCTTCTTCGAAGTCGATGGTCCGTACAGAGCCATGATCTTGCCAACCTCAAAGGAGGAAGACAAGAACTTGAAGAAACGTTACGCAGTTTTCAACCATGACGGCTCACTGGCGGAACTGAAGGGTTTCGAGGTCAAACGTCGTGGAGAGCTGAAATTGATCAAGATTTTCCAAACTCAAATCTTCCGATTCTTCCTGGAAGGCACAAATCTTACTGAGACGTATGCTGCAGTGGCTAAGGTGGCTGACCGATGGTTGGATGTACTTTACGAGCACGGTGCAACTTTGGCCGACGAAGAACTTATCGATCTCATTTCGGAGAACAGGAGCATGACGAAGACACTTGAAGAGTATGGAAACCAGAAGTCAACGTCTATCACAACTGCACGGCGTCTGGCAGAGTTCCTGGGTGAGCAGATGGTGAAGGACAAGGGCCTGAACTGCAAATACATCATTTCATCCAAGCCTCGGAACACCCCTGTCACTGAACGAGCCATTCCCGTGGCGATCTTCTCCGCTGAGGAGAACGTGAAGCGTTTCTTCTTGCGCAAGTGGCTTAAAGATGACCCCGGCGATATGGATCCTCGTACTGTGATTGACTGGGACTACTATCTTGAGCGTCTGGGCTCCGTTGTGCAGAAGCTCATTACCATCCCCGCTGCGTTGCAGAAGATCCGTAACCCGGTTCCTCGAGTTGCTCACCCCGACTGGCTGCAACGGCGGATCAACACCAAGGACGACAGGTTCAAGCAAACGAAGATGACAGATATGTTCATCAAGTCCGATAAGCAAGAAAAGAATCCATTGACAGATATCTCGACGAATATTCTTGACCATCGTGTACAGCATACAGGTGATCTGGATGAAGCCCTTGCAAGCTCTACACAAAAGCTGAAGCCATCATCCGAAACTAAGGTCTCCCAAAAGCGAAAGCATCCGGAAGGTCTGTCGAAGACCTCTCTTGATCCTTTCGCCACCCTCCCCGCGAAGATGCCGTCAATGGCGGACGATTATGTTGGCTTCCTGAAATACCAGAAGCAGAAGTGGAAGATACAGAAACAAGCCCGAATTCGTCGTCGTCAACTTTTCGGTGAAAGGGCAAACGCAGGTGGCGATTCATTGAGCAATCTGTTCAGAAACCAAGCCGAGTTATTATACATCAACACCTGGCAAATTTTGCAGCTTTCCGAGACAGGAAGGCCTGGCATTGTGCGAGCGTTTGTGCTGATCGACCGAAAGATCCATGCTCTCACAGTCAAGGTGCCCCGGCAAATTTACGTCAATCTCAAACAGGACTCACTTCCTGATGTTGACGTGCCGGACTGCGAGGTTGAAAAGGTCAACCACACACTGCCCAACGGTCATCCTTCGGTCCATTTGTTCAAGTTAACATTGTCGGAAGAGACGTATCTCCGCGAAGCGGACAAGATCGATGTTCTCTTCCAGCACCCTAGCGTTGAGGGCGTTTACGAGAAGAACATCCCTCTCAACATCCGGGCAGTTCTTAAGCTGGGAAGCATTTGTACTTTCGATGAGGAGCAACGGGGTGTTCTCGGAGAAGGCCTGGACCGCGGCTTTGACCTTTCGACTCTATGCCGGACAACCACAGAGCAACCGTATCTTCTGGACTCGCCACTTGCCTTCCATTATCTCTATCATGTCGCATCTGGGGACAGGCAGATTTTCGCCCTTTTTTCCAGCACGAAGAATGAGGCACATGTCGTGATCCTGAACCGCACGAGGGATGTTCAGGGTCTTCCGAACCTCGATAAGATCTACTCTGAACTTCTCGCGCGAAGAGTGCAAACCATGGAAGGATACCAGTCACAGGTTGCTTTCGAATATCAGGACAAGATCCATTTCAGGACCACGCAGGTGACTACTAGGAGAAAGGCTCACCTGGAGGTTGGAGACTTGATCAAGAAGTTCAAGTCCGAAGAGACCATGCCCGCTGTTATGGTCATCCAGTCACAACAAAGGAAGCGTCTGTGCCATGATATTCCGATCCTTCGAGAGTACCCTACGCTGCCAGTCAAACCGGAAGTGTCAGATATGGATCTCCCACCTCTGGGATGGCAGTCCTTCATTGCCAGACGATTGGTCACTCACTACCTCTATCTCTCCGCCTGGATTCAACACTTGACATTGCTTGCTAGATACGGTGACGTTCCTCTTTGCAACTTGGAGAACGATGACCCTCGCTTCCTCATCGATATCTCGTATGCCAGACGGCTCCAACAAAACAACGTTGTGCTCTGGTGGTCTTCGAACCCTCGGCCTGATCATGCGGGCTATGAGAAAGACGATATCTCCGGTCCTCTTGAGAAAGTCTCCATGCCATCGGTGAATGTTCCAAGTGCGTATACCACAGTATGCATTGAGTTGGAAGTTCGTAATCTGGCAATCAACACAATTCTCACATCGTCCATCATTAACGAGATGGAGGGTGCGGATACACTCCTGGCTTCGTCCGGCCAATCCGCAGACCCTAACGGAGGCGGTGTCTTGTACTCCGAAAAGGCATTCGCTTCAGCCGGCGCGGTTGTGCTGCGTGAGATGGTCAAGCACTGGTGGACTGAAGCTTGCGATGGAAACAGCATGGCTGATATTATGGTGCAGCATTTGATCCGATGGGTAGAGAGCCCGGTCTCATGTCTCTATGATCGATCTTTGCATCACTACGTGCGGATGCTGTCACGGAAGTCATTCCAGCGCCTGATGGCTGAATTCAGGCGCGTTGGATCAAATGTCATCTTTGCTAGCTCCACCCGTCTCTTGCTCCAGACCTCCAAAACGGAGGTGGGCAATGCCTACGCATACAGTCAGTACGTGCTCAAGTCCATCCGAGCCAACCCGTCGTTCCATTTCATCGACCTTGAGATCAAGGAGTACTGGGACTACCTGCTTTGGTACGACGAGTATAACTACGGTGGCAAAGGTTGCCAAGAAGTCGTCGAGTCCGATGAACAAGAATTGGAGACGGTCATGCACTGGCAGCTCAACCGTACATTGCCCACGCCCATGCAGTCCATTTTCCACGACTGGGTTGTGGAGTATATCGAACTCATGCACGGTCTCAAACGGCCGGATACAAATGACTCTACGCCCCGATTGACGCAGATTCCAATTGGACGTCCCAGTGACGAGGATAGCCAGGAAGCCTCGACTGCCCTCGCAGAAAAGTTTTCGAAGCCACTGAAGAAGCAAATCACTGGTCTCATTCGTCGGCAGCGCGACGAGCTTCTTCACCCGGAGCTAGCCTCTGATTACGTCTTCCCTGTCCTCCCTGGTGTTTTGTCGGACCCTAATGAAGAGAAGCGCAACCCTGTGTTGGAACTCGTGAAACTACTCATGCAAGTCCTTAGTCTATCAAAGATGACTACTATGGAGACCCGGTTACTGCGTCGCGAATTGCTAGCCCTGTTCGAAGTGCGAGAATTCAGCAAGGAAGGCCGCTTCGAGAACCCCGGCGCGAGTCTCAAAATCCCAGAACTCACCTGCGGCTCATGCTGCCTGATCCGAGATCTGGATTTGTGTCGGGATGAAGATGTACTTCCTGAGCCCGGAGTTGACGCCAGTAAGAGCTCGACCAAGCCATGGCGCTGTCCGTTCTGCCAAACGGAATACGACCGATTGGCACAGGAAGAGATCTTGATTGGTCAAATCCAGGGGTACATTGTCGGGTGGCAGACACAGGACCTGAAGTGCTCGAAATGTGGAACGCTGAAGGTTAGTGACTTCATGGAGCACTGCTCTTGCAGTGGAGTGTGGGTGGAAACGATGGATCGGAAGGAGATTGAGAGGAAGCTGCACATCTTGAACAGTGTGGCCAAGTTTCACGGTCTCAAGTTGTTGGAGAGTGTTGTGGGAGAAGTGCTTGCACAGATGTGAACATGTGTTTGTTCTTGCATGATTGCTTGTTGTCGTTTTGAGCGTTGATGGTTGGTGGCTATACCCGCGGTAACTCTACTACACTTCGGTTCCGATATATACATGCGGCCGGGGGCAACATTGGATAGGCGTTAGGGAAGGGATTGAGGGTCATTTAAATGGCGTTCTTAGCATTGTTATTATCTTGACTCCATTCAATACATAGTATATGCATAATAGGATCTAGCTCGTGGGTGAAATGTTGCTAAGAAACTCAAAACGACGCTTGTTGTAGCAGTGCCAGTGCCCTCTTTTAAGGGCTGTTCAAGATGTCGGGAAATACCTCCGGTCCTCCCCACCGTGAGATCTTCAATCTAATAGTATGCACATATGTGTACTTATATGGGGGGTCCTAGGCCTGTTGCCTACTTCCATAGTGGATGTGGGGAAGAATAACATTGGTCTGATTGGTGTATATCGCAATTTAATCGCAACTACAAATATACGAGACCAAGTGCACGCGATCCATGGATGAGACTTGATTAGCACCTCGGCACGTGTGTTTGTGGCAGGCGCAACACAATCCGATCTGTCACCCCAACTTACTTTCCTTCCCTTCAACACGCCGATCTCCATCAATTTCATTTCCCGCATTCCCCCAGAAAGGCAGCATCGTCGGCAGCCTGTTTCTCTCTTCTGTAGAGATATTGCAAAAGCATCACCATTCTCAACTGGTTTCGAAAACCCTCCCCACTCCGAACAGTGTCCGCCCAACGGCTGTCTGCACCGAAACCCCGCAGTCGGAACTCCACCACATCGTCCCATTGCGACGGAACAACCAGTCCCTATTTTTGCCTATCACCCTGGCACGTTTCACTTTGCCTGTGAATCCTTTACACTTCCTGCAGGTATGTAAGCGACTTTCTGATTGGGCTCACCTTTATTGGTTCCAAGATCCGCTATCTTGTCTATCCATCTAATACTGACCGCGGGGCTGAAGACGCAGGCCCAAACCACCCTTATCCCGTCTGCCTTGAAACCCGGACCCTATCGACTGTCCACCCTTACGAACTCCACCCCTGCAAAACACTACTCCGTCGCTTTTTGAATTTATCATATATAAATGGCGTCGCAACCGCAAGCAGGTCAACGGCCGAAGGTCCAGCCCTGCCGATACAAGACCGGAAAGACCCTAGGAGCTGGCTCCTACTCGGTCGTCAAGGAATGTGTGCACATCGACACCGGCCACTACTACGCGGCCAAGGTCATCAACAAGCGCTTGATGGCTGGACGTGAGCACATGGTATTTCTTTACCCTGATGAAGATCCAGGTGTGGCTGGGGAGAAAGTCGAGATATAGCAGGAAGGCTAATGATAAGGATTATGGGGGGTATCATGATAGGTTCGAAATGAAATCGCGGTGCTGAAAAGGGTGTCGATGGGGCATCAGAACATCCTGACCTTGGTCGATTACTTTGAGACTATGAACAACTGTATGTGCATGATTGGTGTGGGGTCAAGTATAAAAGTTGTCGAGGACTAACTGTCCTCGCAATTTACAGTGTATCTGGTTACCGATCTTGCGCTTGGTGGCGAGCTTTTCGATCGCATTTGCCGAAAGGGCAGTTACTACGAATCCGACGCTGCGGATCTTATTCGTGCCATTCTTTCCGCTGTGGCATACCTGCACGACCACGGCATCGTGCATCGGGACCTGAAGCCAGAGAACCTTCTTTTCCGCACTCCGGAGGATAATGCGGATCTACTGATCGCAGACTTTGGTTTGTCGAGGATCATGGACGAGGAGCAGTTCCACGTTCTCACAACGACGTGCGGTACACCGGGATACATGGCGCCCGAGATCTTCAAGAAGAGTGGTCATGGAAAGCCAGTGTACGTTCCTCGCCGTGGCACTTTGCCAATACGACTACTATTTTCATATACTAACGACCACCCAACAGAGACATCTGGGCCATCGGTGTCATCACCTACTTCTTGCTATGCGGCTACACCCCCTTTGACCGCGACTCCAACCTGGAAGAGATGCAGGCCATCCTTGCAGCAGACTACTCCTTCACCCCCATCGAATACTGGCGCGGCGTTTCCCACGACGCACGAGACTTCATCAAGCGTTGCCTAACCATCGACCCTAGCGCTCGGATGACAGCCCACGACGCCTTGCAACACGCCTGGGTCAACCCGCCCTACGACACATCCGCCGACAAGCTCGGCTCCGGCGAAGATCTCCTCCCGACAGTCAAGAAGAACTTCAACGCTCGTCGCACCCTCCACAAGGCCATCGATACCGTTCGCGCCATCAACAAGCTTCGCGAAGGCGGCGGCCTAATGATGGACGGCATGATGAGCGTCGACCCCAAGCCCGAACGAGTCAACGGCAACGACGTCATCGAAGAACGACGGGACCACGATGGAGACATGGAAATTGACGGCCGTGCCAATGCTCGTGGTCAGACGGAAGAGCAGATCCGCGCTCAGGAGCGGAAAGTCCAAGAAATGGTCGCCGGGTTGTGGAGTCGCACTGGGAAGAAATAAGGGTTGGTAATAAGTATATATACATCGTATTGTTATTACTTTTTGTGGAGTCGTTTCTACTACTATTAAGCTTATATACCTTTGCCTCCCATTCCACTGTCACCCACTCTCTTATTATTATGAATGCTTACTACCCTTGATGGGGGTGGATTCTTCTGATTATTATCTGGTGTGGCTTTTGTGGCAAAAGAAAGATGTTTCGGTCTTGGTCCTTTCACTTTTCTTTCATACCTAGTAGTAACTATAGCAAATGATGTAATTGGTTGATTGATGGATTGGTTCTTGATCCTTCAACCAGATTGAGCCCACATTACGCCTACTATTGTAATTAGGAATGGATTCAACTTAGTAGCTGGACATTAAGCACACAAGGCACTTCAGTGTACAATATCAGAGAGCTACAGGATATAGTACCGAAGGGGTCTAATCGCGAAATGAGCACGCTTAACCGAAAGATACATATATTCCCATTAGTTATGTCCACATAAACGGTTCGTGTACGTGGTTTCGCTGTTTACATGGCATGTGGCAAAATGTCCCGAATGCATGAAATAACCAAAAGTGACAAAACGCCTCCCGTCTCATTAACGCCATCGCATCATTGAACATCCAGGTTGAATGAAATCATTGGTTGGCTCGTCAACTCAAAAGCTGTTGGCTCCCATCGTCTAGCGAGAGGACCCATTGGCGCCATTCTTGCCATTCCGCGTAGCTGCTGCTGGCCTTGAGGCCCTGGTACTTGACGGCTCGGAAATCGGAGACCTGCTCCCATGACTTGGTTGCGGCGGCAGCGCCACGACCAGCATTGCTGCTGCCTCGCAAAAACCGTCTCGCCACGCTCTCGGAGGGCCCATCCCAGCCTGCTTTGTGCATCAGGCTGTTGACGGTCTCTTCTTTGGTCCATCCCTGCTCAACCGCGACATCAGGAAGGTAGGTTGCGCCATAGCGTCTGCCGCGATGAATGAAGGAGATGCGAAGGCCATGCACCCCAAGGATCCAGTCCAGAGCGTTGGTGCATGGCTCGAAAGACCCGAGGAGCGTCAATGAGCAAGAGAGAGATGGCAGAAGAGACTCTGGAATGGGGGAAAACCGAGTGTCATCAAATGCGCTGTGGGCGGTTAGCATGCGCGAGCCTTGCCAAGGTGTAGGTGGAAGGCCCGGTCTCATGGATAATGAAAGGGATATACGTACGATGTGAGCGCGTAGGATTTCAGGCCCTCGGCAAGCTCCTGCGCCTCAAATGTGCCAATGCAGCCCCGGAGCGATTTGTGGCCGTGTTTCGAGACAGTATTCCATGTTACAAACAGAGGATATTTGTCCTCTCTCGGCTTGCCACTGGCCGTGTCTGACGAGGAATTGGGTGTCGTGACTGAGGTTGAGCTTGATAGGACAGACTGCGATGAGTTGGTAGACGCGAGAGATTGTGTTGTAGAGGAGCTCGAGCCAGACTGAAGCCGACTGACTCGGGGCACTTTGATTTTCTGGGAGCGACTGCTTTTCCCAGAAAGCGGCGCGGTGTTCTCGTCCTCGTCTACGAATTGCGAATCGTCATCCTCATCTAACGCGGCGAGCTTCTTATATTGTTCGTGTCGTTCCCAGAGCTCTTCCACAGACGCAAGGCTGATTGGTTCTCTGCGCCTATAGGAGGCAGCAAGGGTCTCGAAACAGTAGTAGCATTGAGCCGGGGTGGCCATTCTTTATATCCAGATGTATATTTGCTTAGATAAAGAGTCACGGAGTCGGGACTTTCAATGAATATGTATAGAAACAGCGATGTCGATTTGAGGTCTGTTCGTCACAGCCTAGGAGTTCTGCCACTAGACAGGCACCCGGTTGCTCGGCTTGACCGGGGGAATCCGGCACCAGAAGGCTACTTGCAGCACAACAGGTCCGATGGGACTTGAGATGAGATGGACCAGATGTTGAACGAAGAGACCAGCAGTAACGTACAGTCCAGTGCCAGGGATCCGCCCAGAAGGTGAGAGTCCACGGAAAAGGCAGCAAGAGAGAGGCAAATGAGAGAGGGGAAGGAAGAGGGGGAAGAAGCCCAACGAGGGGAAGTACGAGCCAGCCCGGCCGATAACGCCGCCACGTGATCGACACGGGGGGCTTATCGGCAGGCCTTCAACCTCTTATCGGGCTTATCGGGGACGCTGAAAGAAGATCCCTTGTCACAGGCAGTTACTATATGGTGACAAGCGTACTACAGCATCATCATCATGGTGGTGGCTTCATCAATTGATGGTTTACTAGTATGGCGCTGAATCTGGGATGGGGTGATGGACATAGTGTTAATAAAAGTACTAGATTCTTCAGCAAATGAGTCCAACACCAGTAAGTGTCTAAGTTGTATATATATACTACTAGTAGTATGTGGGGTTAATACTAGAACTACTACTGTGTGACGCAATCACTTCATCAGGCTGTCTTCAGATCATACTAGTATAAGAGTAGTAACTATATAGTACAGTATTCCATTATGTCCATGGTTACCTGAAATTTCGGCACCTATATTCTATCATGTTCGATTTACCACCGATACAGCTCCATGAGAGCAGCCAGTCCCATGGGAAGTGAGGAGTGGTTTCATTTAAGAATGTCTAATGACCAGCTTTTCCAGACAGTGAGCACGTACTTCTAGGTCACATTTGACCTCGCTTTGCACATCAGCTGAGCCTTCATTAGATTTCCGTTGGCAGGCTGAAGTATATAGGGCTCGATCCGAGCTCCTCACAGCAAGCGTTCAGCTTCCCAGGACCCTAAGCATAGTACGACGGTAGGGAAGTACCTGCCCTCTTGGCTGGCAGAGGTATGTGAGGTCATCTCGTCTGGTGACGAACCATTGAAGGACCATACGTTAGCGACTGGCCATACATCATATTGTCGTTGACAGTCAATCCGGGACATTACTGGTATTCTCGTCATTTATAGTCGCAGTATCAGCGGTGGCGATCGTCCTTGGGCATAGCCAGATTCATCATAGAAAGCATGTTTCCCGCTGGGCCAGCCGCACCACCTTGGCCCTGAAGACTTTCGAGAAGGTTTTTCGCAAAGTTGATGTCAATGTCTTCCTCATCCAGTTCAGGTAGGTCATCGTCCTCTGCTTCTCCCGACTTTGTATCAGCTAAAGTCTGCTTGTCACCGGCTGCCTTGGGCTTGCGATTGAGATCAAGAACTCCCGTGCCCTTTAATTCTGCCTCCATTTGCCTCGAAAGCTCCTTGATCTGCTCCGTGTCATCCTCGGATTCGCTATCCAGTTCCTCCACTCGACCCCGAGGCTTCGAAGGCCGAGACGAGCCCGGCAGACCAGAACCGCCTGATGGCATTCCCATCATCTCCTTCATCATCCTCGAAAATTCCTCTTCGTCAAACGAGGCCTCTTTATCTTCACCGTCACTGCTCATCTCATCCTCATCATTATCGTCATCATCGGTGTCAGTGCCATAGTCATCAAATAATTCTGCTCCTTCGAAGCCAGCCGCATCATCATTCAAGAACTTCTCGAATTGCGCCACAATACGCTGAAGATTTTCTTGCGCGTTCGCATCACCAAAGGTACCCTCAGCGCTCGGTCTGCCGTCTTTGTCTTTCCCCTTGCCTTTGAGCTCTCGATCTAAGTCTTCAAAGCTGATGTCGAGCCACTTCTCGTCATTTTGTCGCTTGTCCCAGGTCTCGATATCCTTGTCTGTGGGCAGTTGTTCATCACCAGTGTCCAGATCTTCCAGGATAAGCTTCATTTCTCGGACGGCCGCCTTGTCTTGATTCTGAGGATCCGTAATAAGCATCTCAAATCCACAAGCCAGCTTCATGCCTATCTCGGCCCGATTATATGCTTTCTGATCATCTGTCGTGGGTAGTTTGTCGTTCCATGACTTCGGTACTGGAAAGTCCTGGCTTTTGAGCTGCGCATATCCAACTCGCGTGAAGCGGACGCTCACGGTGACGAAATCTTCAGGCTTGAAGATGAAGCTGTCAGTATCCTTGGATCGAAGAGGTCGCAGTGCAATCGGATCGCGTAGATAGAAGGCTTCCACAGCGGCAGAGATATATGCGGGTTTCTGATGAAGTAGGAAGGCAACTTTGCGAGGGATGGTCACGAACGCAGAGTGAAGGTTTTCGTTGATCTGCTGGGGATAGTTACGCAAACGGTAGAACGCCTCCTCCTGAATCATGGTAGACCTCATCAGACGTGCCGGCTCCTCCATGATGATCTTCTTTGCATCCGACAGTGAGATCTTTTCCGTCACTCTACCTTTCTTATCGTTCTTGGGCTTGATTATGACAAGTTGACCTTGATTGATCCACACCTGAGAGGAAGTTAGCCTGCGTCATAACAGACTTTATACCGGAGGTGCCACTGACTCTGTTATCTGCTACCTCAGGTTCTAGCCAAGCAGGTAGCGTGGCGGCAGCTTCCACCAAAAGGAACTGACCATCACCATCCACAGCTTTTGCCCAGACATTTTTGTGTTTCTTGGTCAACTCGCGCAACAGATACACGATAACCCACTCGTCCTCAATTGAATCGCCGAAGTTGGTGCGCCCGTGCAAAGAGGTGACTCCTATGTATCTGTTAGTGGCTGGGACAAGCCAATTAGTATAACAAATGAACGTCGCGCACCATCATCTTTCGTAATTTCCAGCCGAAAGCTTTCACGTTGCCAGATATAGTCCTTTAGTAGGTCTTTTACCAATTCTGCAGAGGTACGTTGCACCTCAACCAATCTCGCTCGTGTTTCAGCGACTTCGTCGACGACAGCGGGGGCGGGGCTGGAAGGAATATAGTAAAGAGAATAATCGACACTATCGTCAGGGATCTCCGGCTTGGGAATGGGGTGGAAAGTAGACTTGAACCACTCCAGATCCTCCTCAGACATGGGTGCCATGTTGCGAATATCTGCAGCAGGCACACTTTCTGTTTTGAGTATAGTTTGCAGGCTGCTGTGTGCAGCAATTCAACTAACTTCTTCGATCATAAGAACTTTGAAAATAAATTACGGCATGACTTCATACCGGACGAGACGCGGCGAATTGCTTGGCCGCGGGCCCCGTGACCGGGCGCTAGGTCGCGTTGGGCTAGATGTCAACAAGAACGAGGGCTTGAGGCCTCACCGCCCAAAACACGTCCCGTATCGCATCGCATTTCCAGTACTACCTTAGATTGTCAGTCCCCTCCGCCGCGTTCCCCCCGATTTCTAATGGTGTTGTCGGCGATGGTTTCCCATTGAATGGCCTTCGCTCCTTCCCATACACTGTTCACACCAATTTTCAGCACTACAACCCCGCGTTATACCCGTCGGCCATGGCGTATCCGTACATCGACACGCCGCGCACCGAAGTCGACGGAAACGCGACTTACTTGACCGGCTATCGCAGCGTGGGACGACCCAATTTGACGGCACTCGACTCAGTGGAAAATTCGTTTGCTACGCCTTCCAAGGATGATGACCTTCTTAAGGGTCTTGGTGACGGTCGAAGGCGGACTTCCGGGAGTTTCAAGACTCATACGCCTCGTGCAGGCGCAGCTTCCAAATCGACAAGAAGCGCGTTAAATAGTCGACATCAGCTTCCTACCGCAGCGCCTCCCAAGGGTGAATTTACGCCTCTTATGAGGAGTGCCACGAAGAACAATTATTTGCGAAATATGTCTACGACGCGCGGACCGAAGACCCCGGGACATATAGGCAGGAGTTATTTGAGCAATGGCAACACGCCGGGCTTGCCTGGAATGGAAATGACCGATATTGATGAGGAGGACGCGACCGACGATCAGCCCACTCCTATCCCGCAGGTTGCAAGCAGCAGCGTGCAGAGCACACCGCTTCCAGGGTTGTCAAGGAACGGTGGTGTCCTTAATGAGGGAAATAATATGACATTGAAGGAACAGGAGAAGGTGAATAAACGACTTTTGTCACCAGGAAACTTTGCTAACAGCAATAGATGATCGATCAATTAGACAAGGATAATTTCGGTCTTAAATTGAAAATTCACTTCTTGCAGGAGCAACTGGAAAAGGCCGGTCCCGCTTACAACCAAGCAGCACTTAAGGAAAACACAGAGCTAAAGGTCTCGAAATTAACGATGCAACGCGACATCTCACGCTACAAGAAGAGCCTTCAGCAGGCTGAACGCGACCTCGAATCGTACCGCATACAATTTCAGGAGCTCAGGGAGAAAGCGCGGGGAAGACCGACCGACGATACGATACAGCGCGAAATGGATTTGATGCGGGAAGAGATCGAAGCGAGAGACAACCAAATCAGGGAGCTCCAGGAGGATTTGAGGGACGCCAAGGACAGCCAATCTCAGGAAATGGAGAAACTCCGTGACGAAGTTGAAGATCTTGAGGCGTCGGTAAGAGAGCGGGATCGGGCCATCGAGGAACGTGACGAGGAGATCGAGGAATTGAAGGACAGAGACGGCAAGGAACGCGATGCACTCACTGAGCTGGAATCAGAACTGCAACGTGCGAAGGAGCAGATGGAAGAGCTACAAGAGTCGCTAGATCAGGCAAAGTCTGATGCAAGAGAAGCGAGGGATGCCGCAAGCCAAGCCGCCATGGAGAAGGACCAGGCTCAGAAAGATCTCCAAGAGTTGCACGACGAGATGGCGAACAAGTCTATCAGTACAAGTGGACTGACGCGCCAGCTGGAGGAGAAGGCCAGCAAGTTGGAGGAGGAGCTTCGTGAGCTCCAACAAGAGAACAGCGCATTGAAGAAAGATATCGAAACACGATCTGATCACGAAGCCCGAATTGAGGAGCGATATCGGGAATCTCAGCAGCAGATGAACGACAAGGAGCGGAAGCTTCAGGATGATGCTGCGCAGGCAAGACACGAGCGAGACTTGGCCCAACAGGAATATGACAGGATCTCCGCCCAATTACAGGAAGCACTCGACGAAGTCCAACGCAAAGCGGAGGAGAAAGAACTCCTACAAACCCGACATCATGCATTGACGGACGAGTCCGGTGGCCTGCAGCAGGAGCTGGCGAGAGCGCAGTCTAAGATTAAGGA